TTAATTAATGTTAATTAAATTTATATTTTCACAAACCATAGGCTCGGAGGTGTCTAAACAGGCGGCGGATATGATACTATTGGACGACAATTTCGCTACAATCGTGATCGGGGTGGAGGAGGGGAGGCGTATATTTGACAACATGAAAAAGACGGTGTCCTACATCGTGGCCGGTAGTGTCACCACTTTGTTCCCGTTCCTCATATACGTGGTGCTCGGGTTCCCGCAGCCCATCGGCACCATAACTGTCCTATTGATCTGTTTGGGCACCGATATGGTGCCCGCCGTGGCACTGGTATGCATTCATTTTTGCGCATCCCTGCCCACCATACCTTCCCTGTTACTGATTTATAAAAATAAATCTGATAAATTTTTAATAGCTTAAACTATAAAGATTTTTAAAATTTAACTAACCTTCCTAAATAAATTATTATTAATGTATGGTAATTTATCTATCTTGAGTATAATTATACAAAAAAAACAAATATAAATCACTGCACAAAACTGAACCAAGATACTACAAAATTCACACGATATGGATAGCAAATCTTACTCTACATTTAATATACAGTTTTAAAAATAATTATGCAGCAACAAAAACAACCAAGATACGCTATGCCACGTATAATATAGCTAGTCAATTGGCGCTCTACATTTAATATAGTTTTAAAAATAATTAATATATAATAATACAGTAATGTGAAAATAATCCAAGATATTCTATGCTACATAGAATATGCCATAGGTAGTAATTTTTGAGGATATACATATTTTTAAAAATAATCGTAATTTAAAAACAAGCCAAAATACTCTATGCCGCACATAAAATAATTACAAAATTTTAATTTATATTTAACGTACAGTTTGTAAACAATAATAATTTTAAACCAAACTCTTGGTCACCCCATACAGGCCTACGAGAAGGCTGAGGCGGATATCATGTCATTACCGCCGAGGAATCCGCGCACCGAGAGACTGGTCACCGGGCAGTTGCTTATGAGGGCCTACTTCCTGGTGGGCGCCATCTGTACGGCCGCCGGATTTTTTGGTAACTTTTTTTTGACCTATAAATACAGTCAAACCTCGGTTTATATTACATTATAATCTCGTATTACAGGCTATTTCGTTGCACTTAACTACGAGGGTATTAAACCGAAAATGCTATACCAGGCCCGAGTGGACTGGGATGATCGGGATAAAAATTTTACCATATATGGCCCTGATGATGACTGGTACGGGAAGCCTACAAAGGAGATTGTTAGTTTACTAAGCTAGATTATTTATTAGATTGTTAGTTTTATAAGTCGATTGATTTTTATTGACTAAACTTACCAGGATTATCACGAACGCAAGCGCCTGGAGGTGATCGCCCAGAGCTCCTATTTCATCGCCGTAGTGGTCGCTCAATGGATGGACGTTATTGTCAATAAAACGAGACGACTGTCCAATTTTTCGCAGGGAATGGGGTATTGACCGCGTATTTTAATCATAACTAGTATCTAGTTAAGTAATTAGCTAATTATTTTGATAGTAACTGGGTGCTAAACTGGAGTTTAGTGTTTGAGACGGGAATGGCTATACTATTTTGCTACACGCCCGGCTTAAATACGGTATTAAGGGTTGCTCCGGTGATCGGCCAGGTATGGGTCAGTGCCCTACCGTTTTTCGTATACATACTGGTGTTCGAGGAGTTGCGGAAATGGATTGTCCGACGGTTTCCCAAATCGTTTTTAGGCATAGAATTGTTGGCGTAAAGAATATTCTTGTCATTTGAAAGTATCTAGGTTATAATTATTACTATTTATAGCATTTAATATAAAGTTGTTTGTTCATTAGTAAATAAATTATTTTTTAAATAAATTTATTAATTATAATTGAAAAGTTTACAATTTATTTGCAAGGTTTATTTTATAAATGTATACCTGTTTTATTTATTATATGTGTATAAAAATAAATTATGCTACTTATAAATAATCATAATGGATAAATAATCCCGGTCTTTAATATAGCCATTAATTCTACACAAGTATTGATAACTTACTGTTAATTGTATTACTTTTTCCCACAAAAAATAGCTTTATAATATAATTTAATACTAGTAATAACTATCAATTAAGCCTTGTCAATTTCTGATTTAATAAATACTTTGGATTGAAACAAATATTTGTCTAAATCATTGATAACTCGTATTGTGTTTCATATTTTTAATGACAATTTTCAACAATAATCTCAACATAAATACGAAATAAACATTTCAATGATAATACTCTCACTAATACTCCCTTCAAGTGCTTTCACACCATTATCTCTGTTCCCAATAGTTTATGTCTTTCAATGAGACTCCCATTCCCCTCGCATAGTCATTCTGTAGTGTACTATCACATACCAGTCCCATAGTGTACAGTACTGTCACAACATTCAGTCCCTACAATGAAGTCATAATTTATAAATCACTCATAAATCAGTTATAAATAACTTTTTTAGTTATGTTTGCAATCAATCAGTATTTGAAAAAAGTTTTACTATTAATAAGAGTGTAGTTCCTAAAGGGAAAGGTATTCAAAACATGTTGACTACAGTCTCATTTGACACCAAACGCTGGACATCAGTGGCCAACCATCATAAGCAAGTGGACAGGGAGTCTATCACTGATGAACTACACCATGGCTTACATGCCCTTCAAAAAGACCTACATAAGTCATACCAGTCCACTAATACCAGTGCGATAGATCCAGCACCGGGAGCAAACTCGTGGTTATGGTGGTGGGGATCGACCTCCCTGGCCAGTGTCGTACGGGAACTACAATCCAAACAGCGACTCCACTCGTGGCGCAAACGGCGATCCTATGAGTCGGTGCTCGCCATACCGGCGCGAAATAATAGCCGCAAACACAGGGTATACCTATTTTTCAACCAACCGTCCACTCCGTACGCCATACTCTACCACATACTGGTGTTCGCACTGGTATTCGCGTGTCTCATACTCACCATATTCTCCACGATAGCCGCCTACAGCCTACCGGCGCTCCAATGGCTGCTAATACTGGAGAAAGTGATAGTCGTGTGGTTTTCGCAGGAGTTTGTGCTGAGGCTATGGGCGTCCGGGTGTCGGCCCCCATACCAGGGCCTGGCGGGTAAGCTCCGGTACCTGCGAGTCGGGTCGCACCTCATGGATCTGGCGGTTATCGTACTGTCGGCGACGGTACTCATAGCCGACACGCGGAACGGTAGCCAAGTGTTCGCGGTGTCGGCGCTCCGGGGCTTTCACCGGGCGTTCCACGTGTTTCAGGTGGTGACGGGCGGTCAGCGCCGGCCTATACCGCCCTGGCAGCTGTTGGCCGGTGTGGTCAGGGATCAGATGCATCAGCTGTTGATCATCATATACATCGAGTTTATATCGGTGTTTGTGTTGGCGTACGTGTCCTACCTGTTGGAAAGGGATGCCGAGGGCAGTCAGATCACGAGTCTGGCGGAGTCCATGTGGTGGGCCGTAAGTACCGGTGCTTTTCGTATTTATAGTCAATAATTGCATAATTAGTACTGTATTTAAAATAATGGAAAACCTTTAAGTGGTATATGAATCACAGAATATTCCGTGTTTTCCGTAATTTATGGGAATATTCCGTGTATTACTCGATATTTAATTAATGTTAATTAAATTTATATTTTCACAAACCATAGGCTCGGAGGTGTCTAAACAGGCGGCGGATATGATACTATTGGACGACAATTTCGCTACAATCGTGATCGGGGTGGAGGAGGGGAGGGGGTTAAAAATAAAGTTAATACGAAATAAAGTAGTAAGTTTTGTGCGTAAATTATTATTAGTTATTTCTATTTAACATCTGTATTAGTTACTAGCTAATAGTTATTACAAGTTATTGTTAGTAATATTACTTGCTAGTTAATTGCCTAATGTAATAGATTGGGAAAAACATAATTAAAATCTGATATTAAAACTTGCTACGTTAATACTAGTAGCATTATTTAATTATACAGTAATAACCGTATGAATAATTTTAAAAGTAGTCATGATTAGTCATAAATTTATCCAGCATAAATACATTACGACATACCGGTGATGCCCATAGCGATACCGATATCAGCCTTTTTGAGGGCCGGCGAGTCGTTAACGCCATCCCCCGTGACGGCCACTATTTGACCCAAATATTGGCAATTCTCGACAATACGTAACTTTTGCTGCGGGGATGTCCGGGCGAACACAATCTCCCCGAACCCGTCCAGTATCTCCCGGAGCTCCGGGTCCTTCATCTCTGATAGCTCATCCCCGGGCACCACAATGGACCGGGTGTTTCGCTTATGGTTGACCACTTTGTCGACGGCAGGCGCTGTTATACTCGTGGAGTTCCGGTGCGAGTTCGAGAATATACCCACCGATTTGGCGATAGCCTGGGCGGTGATCGGGTGGTCGCCGGTGACCATGATCACTTTGATGCCGGCGCTACGACACTTGGCTACAGCATCCGGGACAGTTGGCCTAGTATTGTAAAACGAAAATTTGTTTTAATTATTTTTAATAACTACAGAATATTCTGTGTGTATTTTGTTTTATATAAATGTGATTTATAAGCTACCAGTGCACACAGGCAGGTGACTGTTAATATTTAAGTAAAATAGTTATCAGGAACAAATTAACTATAAATTAGAGTTTATTTAATAAAATCTGATCTAGATAATCAAAATTTAAAATATAACAAACATAATATTCTGTACTATTTTCACACAAATAAGTGTAAAATAAATGTCAAATAAACTCATAACAAACACCACATACCGGGGCGGGTCAATCATAGCGACCAGTCCCAAGAACCTAAAGTTACCCAGCTCAAAGTCCTCGCTGGGGTCCTCCACATTAAACTTATAGTCGGCGCCAAACTGAGTAAAATCATGATCACAGAGGGCCAGTACCCGCTCACCCATACTTCCCAACTCCCTATACGCCTCCTCAAACTCCTCCATAAATCCCGCGTCCATGGGAACGGTATGTCCCTCGTTGGACAGCCTAAGTGTGCACAACTTAATGATACGCTCCGGCGCTCCCTTCATGACCAGAAAAAAGTTGGACAGCCTATCGTTGGCGGGAACGGTATTGGCGTTTATGTCGGCGCCGTTACTCTTATGTATGGAGTACTGGTATTTATAGGTGGAGCTGAACGGCTTTTCGGCCACTTTGGGATGCCGGGCCCTGTAATCAACTACCGGTCCCGCTACGGACTCCATGAACCTCAGTATAGCCGTCTCGGAGGCGTCCCCATTGCACGCCCTCTTCATGATGTCCGGGTTGTCGTCGGAGAAGTCGGAACGGGAGCACAGAATGGCGCACCTCTTGTAGGCCGACCAGTTGTTCGGCATCTGTGCCATCTGTCTGTCCACCTCCTGACGCTCGTGCGTCACTCTATGGGTGCCGAACCCCAGCCACACGTGCTCTACGGTCATCCGGTTTTGGGTAAGGGTTCCCGTTTTGTCCGTACATATGGTGGACGTGGAGCCCAGGGTCTCGACCGCCTCCAAGTGCTTCACTAAACAGTTTTTAGAGGCCATCCGTTTGGCGGTTAGGGTGAGCGCGACGGTAAGTGCTGGTAGTAGACCTGGTTTACCGGTAAGGGTAGTGTAATTAATCAGTAAATCTAATACTTAAATAACATTTGTGTTTTAAACGCTGTATCAGGATAATTTATTATTAGGTATAGTGTATTGATTTATTTTGCAATCATTAATTGCTAGTTAATTTATGATTGCTAATAACTTTGTTCAAAACTATTAATAATTATTGTATCACTAATTAATTAAGTGCTTAGATAGGTTTAATCAAGTGAATTGTAAACACAAACAGTAACTTATAATTTAAATGTCATTATGACCAGGATGTTACTGATATATACTCACATTAAAATACAATATACGGTACATTGTATTTAGTATAATACATTACTGTATTTATAATAATAATAGTCTATTTATAATACAGAATACAAGAATCTCTATGGGAAAGTCAATGATAAATAATATCCTATTACTTAATAACTACATTTCCCCTAAATTTTATGGTAGGGTTAGAAAGTATGCGAGGAATGGGAGCCTACCTTCGGGCACATTGCCGACAGTGATGCCAATCATGAAAATGAATGCCTCGAAGAACTTGGAGCCGAAAGCCATGGCGATGGCGAAGAATATGACACCACTTCCCACGGCTATCACTGTTATAATCTTCACGAAACGGTCGATCTCTTTGGCGATGGGGGTCTTCTCGCTCTTAATGCCCGACACCAGCCGCGCGATGTCTCCCATCACTGTCCGATCACCGGTAGCCACCGCTATGCCATACCTGTGCCGTCGACACACACACGGGTAGACAGTATTAGACTTTCAGTTTATTTTGCGATATATTTGTTATCACATTATGATAGCTATTGTCTAATCAATTACTGGATACTTATGTTTCGCACATAATTTATGACCGTTTGTACCGCTAATCCCTATCATGATTTATACTCTACGAGTGTCTAAGCTACCAGTGCTGATTTACACGTATAGCTAATTAATAGTCACTAATTACGTTTGTGCTAGGTGCACTCACACGTGATTTGCATACTTAGAAGGTTGTCTAATAATTTGACAGAATATTCTGTACTCAATATACTACTCAAGCTATAGATGTGATTATAACCAACACGTGTTGCTAGTAATCATCTGGATACAGTATACTAATCACATGTAGTACCACGAGAGCACCGGTAGGTGTCACACATACCCGCTGCCGTCGACACAATTAGTGGAGAAAAAGGCCAAATTCCGAGCCTCGAGTGCGTTCTCGTGGCCCACGTCGGGGCTACGGCTAAGGGGGTCGGACTCCCCCGTGAGGGACGAGTTGTCCACTTTCATGCTCTCCGACTTTACCACCCGTATGTCGGCCGGCACCCGGTCCCCACTTTTGCAGTATAGTAGGTCTCCCACCACCACCTGGTCGGCCGGTATCGATCGGCGCTTACCCTCGCGAATCACTGTTGTTTGCTATACACATATGAAAGTGAGCAGGGTTAAACTATAGTATGTTTATAATGTAAATGCTAAGTAAAAATAGTTATTATTTTTTCCCATGCTTAACATGTTAATTAGTACAGTTATAGTTAGTGTTAAGTATGCTATAAGCCTTATAGTATAAGGCATTACAGTAGTACTGTACCTTTTTGCACCCCGGGTGGTTATCAAGTCCGTTTTGTATAGACAAGTCTTATGATAAGTACTTAATTGTAATTTCCTAACACTTATTAACCCTTTCACTACATTTACAGCTGTTTACCTAACATTATAATCAGACTTAAAACTATTGAAATTATTTTATCAACACTTTATGCACACATTTCGCTGAAGTTTAGCAATCAATACATTATTACTGTTTCTAATAAAATACTTTTGAAATGAGTAACTATTTTCTAACTACTTATTTCACATACAATAACTCAATTAACAAACAGGGTACTATTTTTTAAAAACTACATACCGGTGGTGTCATGTTTTTAAACGACTTGAACACTTTACTACTACTGGCAGCTTGGTAATACGAGAATGAGCCGGTTAATATCACAGTCAATGCCAACACTATACCCAAATACATCTACAGCACCAAAATTAATCAGAAAAAACTTATTTTAAAAACTAACTAGCACATTTCTAAACACTCACATCCTGGGGCTCATTCTCGATGCCAAAGGCTATGAAACTGGCAATGGACGCGAACCACAGTAACAGCGCAAAGCCCCCGGTCATTTCCCGTAAGTATAAAATCCACCAGGCTGTTTGTTTAGGTGGGGTAAAGGCGTTGGGGCCGTCCCTTTGCAATCTAAACGCCGCCTCCTTTTCCGTAATACCATTCTCGGGGTGAGTCTGGAGTCGTTCGCAAACCTCGTGCACATCAATGAGGTGTTCAGTGATCCGGACGTCCTTTAGGTCCACATTTGTCTGGCCATCCGTTTTGGGCTAATATTGTTGTGAAACAAATAATTAGTAAAATATATGGAAAATATTTAGCAAGCAATATATTTTAATAATTTTTTTTATGGAAAGTAGAGTATTTTTAGTTTAAATTGTTAATTACACAACTTAGCCAGATACTACCGTAATAAGTTTGCATACGCATATGTGTATTGATTAAATTAATAATTGTATTGTATTAGTAATTGTTCAGTGGCATTTTAGTGTTTAGTCAACAAGGAAATTTAGTTTTTATCATTTAAATTGTAAATTAATTTTCTTACTAATAGAAAAATTCAAAATAAAATTGTTTATAACACATGTTTGCCAGGGACAAGTTTGACATTTATGTAACATGGTAGTTGTAGTTTATTCTTAATAATTTATATAAACCATAAATATACTAGGTAACGTGATTAATTAAATTAATTTAAGTAAAATAAATAATTTTTTTTCAATCATTACTTTCTTTTTCTTCCAGAATTTGAGTCGAAATCCGGAATCGCTTTTAACAGGCTTTCCATGACTTCCACTCTCAATGTCGGCCCTATTTGGCCGGGTATTGTGGTTATCATCATAACGAGTCATAATTTATTATATATTAAAGTAACACAAATTAAATTCAAATAAATAAATCAGTAATAAATTAATATTTCAAAAAACTTTTAATACACTTTTATATCACTTATAAAAAAATTGATATCACTTTTAATATGTAAAATAAAAATCACTGCAAAAACAACTAACCCTTACATATATCCAGTAGTTAATGGGTAAAGATATCACATATACTTTGTATTTCTAACCTCCCGGCGCTTGTATTAACACTGTATTAGTCACACAAAGAAATTGCAGACACGAGTGGATAGGTATCTGAAAAGTTGTCGGCTTTTTATAAGCAATCATTAATTATTTAGAAAATTTCTCTTTCATTGTCTTATCTATTGCTCTCACAGTCTCTCTCTCTCTCTCTCTCTCTCTCTCGCCCTATCCTTATGTACTCTATATATCGACAGTATTTCATAACTAATATTATAATTAATCGTTTATTTTGTGATATATTCTCATATACTGTATATAAAGTGTAATTACTAATCAACTACTAATCCGTTATTTACTTTAATTTAAAACAAATACAACTATCGATTAGTCGGTGAGAGTAGTCATAGAATTGCAATTTAAAGTGTTTTATATGATTATATAATCACAAGATTTGTTAAGGAGTTAACTGGATATCTCACAAAATTATTTTGCACTTCAGTAGCCTTAACTGCTACAGTTTTCATTATCAGGGCTAAATTAGCGATGACATTTGAAGTATAGTTATAATATCTATATTACCTGCGATAATACCTGTGCCATAAGGTATTGACGCAATTTTTATAGTTATTAATTGATAAGTAATTAAAATATTTTTTAGACAAAAATTTATTTTAATTTGTATTTCATGTTTATAATTGCAATCTATTTTAACGCATAAACAAATATTGCATTAAATAAATAAATCTTTTTATAAACATTTCCGAGTAAATAATCCGGGTATATTTATTTAGTAGTAACAACAATTCACTCATGGAGCTGTCTATGATACAGGCGCTCACACTTAAGTCTGAGAGTGAAATGTGTCGGCACCGGTATGTTTGCCGACATAGATAGTGCTATAATTGCCTTATTTGGCAAAGGTATGGTGGGGTTTAGTAATTGTTTAATCTCTAATTAATGTCACTTGTTCATTTTTGTTACACAATATTTATTGAGTGAAAATATAGTTGAGAGAGAGAGAGAGAGAGAGAGAGACTTATATATGTATTACACGTGTCAACTATTAAGCTAGGTTTATATTTATTTATGATATTGAATGAGCAGGTACTATTTACTAACGTCTACTTTTTATATCTATTTAAAATTACGTATAAGTGTGGCAATGAACCTAGGTAAGTATTAGTTAAAACATTACACTAGTACCTCGGGAGGGCGAGTACGTATCCCATCCGGCCGAGAGCGTACTGGACGGCGATACCCCATACCCCGTATGTGCTGGACGTGGACCAGGCCTGCAGCTGGGGAACCACCCCCTCGGGCACTTTGGTCGACACGTTGATATGGACAGCTGGCAGTGGTGTCGGCGCCAAATGGATGAGCTCTACCGGCGAGTGAACGTTCCGTTTGAGCTGTTTTTTTCAGAGGGCGAGCCGTTTGGATACTCGGCAGCGGATGACATCCGCCGGTTCATCGACCACCGATAGGAGGGTAGGTGTAGCTGATGTGGCGCCGCCCTTGCAATTGCATGGAACACCCGAACCCCCTGCACACACACCCGGGTCACCACAGTTTGATTTGTACCGTATTCTCGCGCAACAACCGGCATGCCGGTGTAAAGTGAGGCTGATGAGACTGCCGTTATACCCCGGGGTATAACGGCATGCCGTAATAAGTGAGATCTAAAATATGTTTTTAATATTTTAAAAATTATTAATATTTTGTTATATAAATGCGTTAAAATAG